AAATTGATAAATGGCTAAACATATTCGGTAAGACGCCTAACTTTTTGAAAAATCTGAAATGGAACAATTGAATAATGAATGTGTTTTTATTTGAAAAAGTTAATATGGTAAAATCTTCCCTTCGAGGGATGTAAGGTTAAAGTGTGGGATTGTTAGAGAGTTAAAGTGTGGGATTGTTAGAGAAAATTCTCAGACTTCCAATATGTTTTGAAAAGAAAATATTCCAAATGAAACTGTAAATTGATCTCCAATGGCTTATCCTTAATAAATAATATTATATGATTTTTTTTATAGAAAAAATTTAAATATATTTTATAAGGCCTGAGCTTTCTTGTAGATATATTTATTCTTTACTAAATTATATTGAGAAAGGATATATTGACATTACTTTTTAACACCTACATCGAAATTTTATACACAATACAAACTAATTTATTTTTTAAATAATTTATTTACTTTGGTTTGTATGCAAGACCATTTAACTTTGTTGTTATATACGGTGTAGAATATATAGTGTATATAAAATAAAATAAAAAGTCAAAATAGCAAAGCTGAATTATATATTTTGGACGTTGTACTTTCAAAGTTTAATTTACGGTTTCCCTGCATCTATCCATATTTTTAGTTTGTAGATACTCTTATTCTAGGAAACTAAAGTAATAATAGCTTCAAAACATGTATTATAAGAGAAGAACACACACTAGTACATCTTTTACATTATTTGTACTTGCACAACTTGTCAAAATCGTCATCATAATATACATACAATACTTCTTTTTATATACGTATATCAATTCTTGTACATGTTGAATTTTATTAGTATACCTTCTTAAAAATAAGTTATTAAGATATAGAATTAGAAATTGAAATAACGGCAAAAACTACGGCGAAACAGAATTTCAGATGATCTTTGCGGATGTGATCCCGTAGATTTAATCACAATGTTTATTGAACTAGAGATATCGGCGTTGATACGACGCTGATAATTGATGTTGGTATTTTCAATACAGTGGATCTAAGAGAATACCTATATAGTTACCATTTCAACGATTAAGTTAGTTAGACTTGAAAATAGGTTATAATAAAAGTGGAGATTAGAGATTATATGTGTACCTTATAATTTTTTACAATGATATTTATATCTTGAATATGACGAAATAGACTAGATAATAGGTCTCGTGTTATTAGGCCAGTAGAACTCAGATATTTGCTCGACACAGATCGGAAGATCCTTAATCTTGATCAGCACATTAGATAGATTACATATCTTTGACCGAAAGATAAGCATTGAAATTTATTTATTTATTTTTCCATTAGGCCATTATTGAATTGTCATTTCCTTACTTTCCAAAGTTCTTGAATGAAAATGATATTGTTCAAAAGTAAAACCTAAGGAAGGACCCATGTTCTCATGTATCCTAAAGTTGGTAAAAGGCTTGACCCAGATGGGGCCAATGCTGGCAGTACCTAAAACAAAATGACCTAAAAGGAACACATAAATATGTACATGAAAAATTATAACTTAATTCAACCTCAACCATTATTTTAGGATCATGCTCCCCTAACAAATTGAATTCAATTATTTCCCGCTTTTACACATTCAAGATTTTCGTGACCGTTCAATAAAAGTCAAACAACTTAAATTCGAACCGTAATTGCAAAGTCGATACAAATATCAAACAATCTAAATTATAATTTGCACCCTTCAGCACAGATATTTCGAATGCGTGAATGCAAGCAGATTATATTTAAACCTAATGTGTAAGGAAAAGGGCCCCAAAAGTGGGGCAAAGGGGTAAAAATAATTTGTATGAATAAGGGAAAGGCATTTAACTTTTGAATGTCCATTCGTAGACATAATCATTTTGAGGAAGAAGTCACCTAATTTAAGATCCCTTTTAGGCACTTAAATATTGTAGACCACTCTTCTTGCATATACTTATATACTATTTACACTGTCCTTTATCTAATAATTACCATTGACAGTTCCATATAACTGCTGAGTCAGACCTTTCTGTCACTCTATGGGGCTGCTGCACATTACAAATTTAATTAAGACCACTTTCATTTTTATGGAAACTGGGAATTTTTGTTGTCATTCTCAAATATCAGCAGTAAAAATACAAAAAATATTATTTGTGTAAAATTTTATAATTAGTCAAATTATTTTTACAAAATTTAACATAATATGTTGTTGGTGAAACTCATGGTTATTTAAAGCAAGGCTGTTAGTAAATATTCTAAAATTTGATATGTTTAAATTATAAATAAATAAATATTTATAAAATATTTATTATAATTAAATTATAATAAAATAAATTATTTATTTATTTTATCATTATTGTTATTATTAAACTGTAGTTAATTTGCACAAAGTATGAATGGTAAAACGGTTATAATCAGTTGGACAAATACATTTTTTCTCATTTTTCGCAAGACATATTATGATTTTAGCTTTGTAATTTTTAATATGTCTGTCCAACTTTATTTTTCTGCAAGTTTTTGCGAGCACAAAATATTAACATAAATTTTTATAATTTTTAAATTTTATACTTGCAATTATTATAGGCTTTCTATACTCTGCTCTAAACCCTAAGGTTATACAATATTTTAAAAATACACCATCAATTATTTTCACTCCATTTTTTTTTTCTTCAAATTTTTAAAGGACGAACAAGTCTGTTTGTCACAATAAGCAGAATTCTCTAAAAACATAAAAGATGCAAAACTCAATTTAAACCTTATTGTGCAACTTAATTGATATGCATTATTTTTTCAAAGAAATGAGAATACTTACACAAAATTATATGCAACCTGTTAGGAACATAATGCATAATGGATACATATTGAGAAAGATAATTTTTCTAACCTTATCATTTTAATAGGTAGGTCTACCACGTGTAGGTGATTGATGGTAACAATGTTAGGCAGACTCAACATATGGTTAAAAACACATCAAAAAATTTCCCATAATTTAAGAGAAATTGAAGCAATTATTATTCTTCAAAAATTGAGGTGGGTATGTCACTATCTCTGCACCCATCAAAACATTGGGGTTATAATATTCCCTTATGGGCTCAGGTTGTAGTCTATCCCATTTTGTTTGTCCTTGCCCTGCCATAACAAGGGAATAGCTACAAAACCATACTTCCAAATAAAGAGAGGGATACAAAACTAGGAAATGAGACATTAAAATTGCAGCCACTTCACTTGGATGCTAATTTATTGCATCTAATTTTTCCATTACCTAGTAGATACAATTGAAATTTTTAACTTTCTATTTTATTTTATGTTTTCAAAAATCAATGTTTGGTAACAAAAAAATAGTATTAGATAATTGATAAAAGGTTTTAATAAGTACAATTTATAAGGACGTATATTCACATGAGCGATTTAAAATAAAATAATAAAGATAAAATTGAGAAAAGACTATATATTTTGATAGTTAAAAAGTTTTTAATTATATTTTATTTATATCACCATGAAACTCCAAAATTATTTAACAAAACTAGGTAACTTTAATGCTCTTAAAGTTTAGGAGAGATGGTTTTAGCTATCTAGGACACATAATAGTGCCAAATAAAGCTTGCATATGACATTTATTTTACTTATATAAAAGAAGAAAACAAATCAACAAGAAAGAGAAAGCTCAGGGAATTATCTCTCCCACTCTCTCTCTATACTTCATTCTGGATTTTTGTTTGCTTCTTTTGAACATTTATTAATTCTAATAACTCTATTATTATCTCTATAAATAGCAATCACCTTTACTATTTTTCATTAAATAATTTTTTATCTAATAAATAAAAAAAGGTACAATTAATAAAGCTTTGTGACACAGAGATAAGTCCAATAATACAGTGGATATGATGAATTTGTACATTGAAACAGTCACGAGAGACTTTATAACTTAGATCTAAAAGAATAATTATAAGTTGCTTTATACACTTTTTTCAGCCAAACAATATATAAAACAAAGAAACTGAATGCACTGCAAAAACTGCATAAATATTCTGTGTATATAATCAATGATACAAAGCCAAATTGCTTTCCTTTAACACAATACCATACAAATTATTTTTGAATTTATTTCTTAACTATGATTAATTTTTAATATTCAAATTCTACTACTATAGTTACTGTACCAATAATTGTCAAATTTATTATAATTCTTAACATATATTTAGTTTCATTTTTTTTATTATTATTATAAAGGTCCACATAAAATTACACTTTACTGTGATTTTTTTTTCATTTTTACAGTGATTTTTTTTGTCAAGAATTTACAGTGATTCTTAAATGCACTCATTTAATTTTATTTTATTAATTTTAATAAACTGATTTAATGGTTATTGAGATTAATTTAGACAAAGACTTAATTTAGAATTGGTGTTGCATAATTAAATATACTTAACTAATTTTTTAATATGTTTAAATTAGTTAACTTTATTTATATCTCATTTTAAAGAGGATATTTAAGTACATAATATTAATATTACAGAAACAATATTAATGATAATAAGATCAATAGGATAAATTTATTTACAATTTCTCATAAATTAGACACAAATTGTAATATGAAGTTTCATGATCTCAAAAAGCTACGACTAGCAGCATTACAATTTATAAAGTTTTTTGACTAGCAGCATTACAATTTATAAAGTTTTTTTTCTTCCAATTTTCAAGCCATAAATTGTTGATGAACAAGAATGGTGAAAATGGAGATAGCTCAGGAGGGATAGACAAGAAAAGAGAGAATGAGTTGGGTGGTAAAAAGGAAAATCAAAGAAAAAACTTTATATCAAAAATTTTCGATATAAAGTCTTCCACAAAAGCAAAAACGAAGAACACAGACTCAGAGTGAGGTCTTACAAGGTCAAGAAAAGGTCTTACAAGGTCAAGAAGACACAAATGTAAGAAGAAAAAAAAAAAAAAGAGAAAAATTAAGAAGAAAAAAAAGAGAAAGGTGAATAAAAGCTCAGATAGGATAGCACCCTTGATTAGAATGAACCTGCTGCAATTTCTGGTGATGGTGAAGAAATGTCAGCTACAATTTCAGAGCCACCAATGGCTTCTTCTATTTTGTCAAAGAATCTCAAAGGGTTGACCATGGTGATGATGATGATGATGAAGTTGTTTATGGTCATCACATGCATGTGATGGTACTCCTTATTGGGACCTGTATCATATGAATCATGCTCTTAATTAGTGATTGCAGAGAATGAACAAGAATGACAGTAGCAGTAGCCAGCTTTAGATTAAATCAATAAAGTATATAAAAATATATATAACTAGTTTTATACTAGTATTTATTATAAGATAAAGTAAAATTTTCGGTTGATCTGAGTCAAATATTATATAGAATATTAATACAAAAATAACTAACACTAATTAAGCATATGAAAAAGGTTCAAGATAACTGTTTGAGGTAAGACTATGAGAAAAGTGAAATCATTATGGAGATTTTTTCTACATTCAACAATACTATTTATTATTACCTTTGAGAAACTTGTCCTTTGGTTTCATCTTTGAGGGTTTTTTTCTCCCCTCTCTACTTTGTCTCAAGAGGTTGAAAGAGACTAAGAAAGAGAGAGAGGGAGAGGGAGAGAGAGAGAATTTTTGTTATGGGGGAGATGGGAGGGAATGGATGCAATGAAGATGTTTATAGGGAGGAAAAATTGGAAAGATAAGTGCATGAAGAGGGTAGTGGGCTTTTCCAATGGACTTGATAGAGACAGGTCCAAGGCCCAGAAATATCTAAATGGACCTGGTGATGTCATCAGGGTCCAATGTGAAAGAATAGTATGAATAGACTCTATAAACCAGGACCGCGATAGATTGTACGTTCAAAGTTGAGTTTGAAATCAGAACAGACTCTATTTTCAGAGTTGAACTCGAAATCAGATTAATAATAAATGGCAAAACTCTTCCACACAAAAAAATTTAACAATGATGTCTTCAATTTTTTTTAGTGCGGTCTTAAACTCAAAATCTCTGATTAAATTAGAAAAAACTTCTGTATTTTACTAAACTATTAGATCCGGATCAAATGATCAGTAATGGTGCATTGTACACGTTGGTCTCTCCTAGAACTGCAGTGATAGACTTTCATAATTGAATGAGTGCATTCATACAATAAATATTAGCAGCATAAAGTTTTGTATATAGTTATTACAAAATTTATTAGTGTGTGTGGTTGTGTGTAATAGAGGGGTATGTATGTCCGTACAAAAGGGTGTGAAGTCTTTGTGTAGGCCTGCCTGCATCTGCATGTGGCTCCCAAGAAGCAGTGTTGCTCGTGTGCTTTCCCAGAACTCACAAGTTTCTGCCTTCAATTTAAGATCTAGCACAGAAGATTTACTACTTCTATACAATCTTTGAACCACTTTTTCCTTTGGACTCACTTCAATGTGAAAATCATTATATTTGACATTGTTTTGCTACATCATCATCCACTTTTGTATTTTAAATATTTATCATATCACTGTTTAACAAAATCTTGTGTGCAAAGTTATGTTATAATTCAACACTAATTTTCCAACAAAGCACAAAGATCAAGTTTGTAATGATACTAATAATAACCAAAAGAACAAAGTGTGGTTGGTTTCAACATGACCCATGTGGATAGCATTGAATTTTGTCGACTACATAAGTTGGGTAAAATGTAATATTCCTTTTAGATAAAGACATTTGAATTTGAATTCACAAATTTGACTAATTCATACAATAATTTCCATCATCCAAAGCTATCAAACACAAACTCTAACAGAGACAACCCCCACAACATGGATGTAGACATGTCAATACTCTTAATGTAAAAAATAAAAGATATTGACACCGCTTAATATATGATAGTATTTGATCTTTATTTATTCATTTATAATTAAAACAGTAAAAAATATTTTAATACAATTAATATATTTAATCTTCCATTGATTAACATTGTATGGACACATTTAATCCTTGTAAACATATTTGGAATTTATCTAAAAAATGTATAAAGTTTGTCGAATGAAAAAACAGGATAATTTTTTTACAATATTTCGTCTAAATTGTATAATACATGCCGATTAATATCATATATGTTTTCGACACCAATTCAAAAAGTGTCGAAATAAAGAAAATGTTTATTATAGAATAAATATGAATGAGTTTTCCTACGCGTATAATGTAGATACCATATAAATGTGAAGAGAAAAACTAATATACATTTGACTATGTAAAAATATTAGACTGTTAATTAATTAACAAGAAACGTATCCTGTCAAGTTATAATTTTAATTTTAAAATATTTACATGATACAATTAAATGTTATAATTTTATTATAGTGTAAAACTATTTTACACTGACATTATACTATCTTTAATCTCAAACGTGAAATACTACGACACGCATGAAATTGTAGATTTTTAGAGAATTCGAATTTGAAATTTAGATAGAAAAACACTCCTAAATCTTAAACTGTACTCATGATTCCTCAAATTTGTCTTAAGATCTTATTATTATGGTCTAGTTTTTGTTGGATGATACTGGTTGACATGGGAACTCGCTTAGAACTCAAGTTACATAACCAATAATTTATTTAACCCTTAAAAGAGGGAACAAAAGAACGTGAATTTGCGCAAAATGATGGAAGAAGGGAACAAGGAATCTTTGGTAACCGAAAGAAAATGTGGTAAACTATAGATGATACTAGTAAATACTCGTGGAAATAAAAGTAACTATGATACTTATGGGAAATCTTACTACTAAGTATCACACAGTCTTCAATGTTATATGGTCAAACTAATTACAAAATTCACACCCTCCCCAATTCCTTGGCTTGCTAACTCCATAATTAAATATATACTAGTATGAGTTTGAATTTGTGTACCTTTTTTCTTACACTCATAAACTGACCATAGTACTTAGCAAATATGTCATCAATTGTTACTTAGAATTTAGGTTGGGCAAATTTTATACTCAAATTATATTATATTGGTGTTGGTGTGGTAGCAGTAAATAAATTAATATTGAACAGTAATTTATAGGTGCATAGTTATGGATTGAAGAAAAGTCTCTGTAGCCCATATTTGAGTCCAAGTGTCCCCACCCACACAGCTTCCCTTTCCCTTAGGCTGGCCTTATAAGACTCTGCAAGGGTTCAGTTCCTTTTTCCTGTTCTACCATATTCACTATGTAATCAAACTCCACTTCTGATCAATCTTATACTCTTTTATTCCATTCCATGACCATACAACATAAATCCCACCAAACATTTCATTTCATTAATATTATATACACACAAGGAATCAACTTTCTTTCTAAAATTGATTAATATAAAGGCCAATAGAATCAGATAGGTTAATAAAGATGGTAATTGAGATTATTTTAATAATGGTTTATTAACGGTTTACTTTATTTAGAGACTGATTGTATTTTAAAAACTGTTTAATAGTTACCATAATTTTAATCATGGTTTATTAACGGTTTAATTTACTTATGAAAGCAGAAAATAAAGTAGAAGAAAGTAAAATAAAGTTTGGTGTTTAACGAGTTAAAAAAAATATTAGAGTTAGATTTCATTATTATCTTTTCGGCATCTTGATCAAGCATATGTAATTCTAACAATTATTTAATATTGTCAACAATTATTTAATATTGTCGTTCGAAACTCCCATTGCAACTTATGTGTGCGTCAATGATGTGAAATTAATTGTATTATTTAATAGAAGATTTTTCAAAACTAATACTTAATACGACAATATTAAATTTCAACAATTCATACAAATACTGAACATAAATATATGTATAGACTTTAGCATATTCAATAGATGAAAATTTTGAATTTAGTAAAGAACAATATTTTTCATATATCAAGTCATATCATAAAAATATGTTTTAGACAGTTAATTCAAAACAAGTATTAAGAACAAAGAACTCGTCAATATTGAAGCTTAAATAGATGTACTCATCTAACTTCAACTACATCTAACTCCAACAAAAGAGAAAATTAGAAAGATTTACTCATCGTAACTTTACAGTAAAGTCTTAGAAGAAAGATGTTGAAAAACATTTGTTACCAATTTCTCGAATAGCGCTTCCGCCCTCCACCTTCCTCTCTTTTTCTCTCATGTTGTATTTCTTACTAACTACTATAACACCCCAAATTAACTAAAATATTGTTTTCTTGTTATTTAGAGTTTTATCTTTTTTTACAATTTTATCAACTTTTTTATTATTATTATTATTATTATTATTATTATTATTATTATTATTATTATTATTATGAATTATTAAGAATTAATTATTAAATTAGAAAACTATAGAGTTAATTTGAAAATAAAGAGTTAGTGGAGAGTGAATACAAATAAATGGAATAAAAATAAAAATAAAAGTTATAGTTAAAAAATAAAAAAAGAGAGAAAATGAAAAAAAGAGATACGTAACATTTTGAGGAAAAGACCCTAAAGTCTCCAAACACTCTTCTCTTATTCTAAAAATTTGCAAGAGAACCTCAATTTATCACAAGAATAGCATTAGAGATTTTGCGTTTTGTCATTTAGGGTAGTGGTATTTTCCTTGAACCCCGAATTGTATCAATTGTCATGTGAATTCTCTATGCGATGATGAATCATAGACTCTGGGTTATGATTCTCTCTCTTATTGTCAATGGTTTAGTAAATTTGCATGAAATTTTGTTCTTGGGGAGAAATGTTAGACATGATGTCTGAGACAATGTGCACGACAAGTTATGACAATTTAACTTATAGAAGAAGATGAAGCAGAAAAAGAAATAAAGGAACACAAAAAATTGTTAACTCAGTTCGGTGAAAACAACACCTACATCTGGGGAACTTCCAACCCAAGAAAGGAAATTCACTATCAATAGTATTAGTACACTTATTCTTATATGAACACACCTTGTTCACAACCTCTTCCTAATACTACCCAATGACTTTCTATCTAGGACTCCCCTTAAATATGAAAACCCCTCACTTTCTCTTAATCAATAACCCTAGTGACTTACTTCAATAAACAACTTAAAGAATATTGAATTACAACTCATCTAAATGTGGGCACTAGTGCGGTGTACAAGCAACACAAACAACAAACTCAAACAAAACCCTAACGCAACAAATCTTCAACCAAGCTCGTTGTCTTCAATGTTAAAATCAGTCTCTTTAAATAGAAATCCATAGCTGGGTTTTCTCCAATGGGCATTTGAATTTAAATCAACAAATATGGTGGCGATTTGGTTAAGATATGTTATTCAAAATATCGAAGGGTGTATATCTAGACTGTTCATCTACATTGCAATTAGTAATTGTACAATATAGAATTGGATTGTTTTATCTTGGAGGCGTTATGGTTGAGTGAATTCTTTAAACAACTTTAAGTAGTGTCACGAAATATCTTAAAGCGACCTAGTCCACGACTCGACCCATTAATATCTTCAATGTCAATTTTTCAAAATTGTAAAACAACAAATTTCCCTTGAACCCTGAATTGTATGAATTTCCATGTGAATTCTCTATGAGATGAT